AAGAGACTGTTGAAAAATACTTTCTGAAATTTTCTGAGTGATCAAAAGGAAAAGGCATAAATTTGGGAGCCAGACAAAACAACCTTTGATTTCTGGGTCTCTTTTTTCAACTATAACATGGGGTTAGGTAGGATTAAAAGAGACATTTACATTTGACCTGACCTAATTAATATCTGTAATTTTTTAAATTTTTTACTTTTTACTTCCTATAACTATAGGTTGCCAGGAATTTCAGAGACTGGTTACTTGAAAAATTCCCTTCTTATTAACTACTGAGATCTGTTTCCCTTCTGCTGATTTATTGACACAATGACATAAAATCTTTGGAAGGCTGGGTGGTTGGACATATAGATAAAGAGATATGTCACATGAGCATATTATCTAAAATGAAGAGCACTTCATTGTAAGGGCCAACCTGGTGGCCTGAGTGCATTCTGAGTACCCAGAGGAGAAAAAAAAAAAAAAAAAAATCCCTGTGTACTCGGGTCATAGCAGTCATCAGGGCAAAGGGGTAGGTACTAGACCTGGGCATAGGGAAGAAGTGATAGGACCAGGGAAGATCAAAGTCATTTCATCCCTGGAGACCCAGTGGAACCTCTGAAGAATTAGCAGTTTCGTCATAATCCTACAGCTACCCTAGGTACCACATGCTGAGCAGGAGTCCCAGAGACAGCACTCAGCTCTTCACACAACCTGCCCAAACTCACTGTCATCAAGTCAATTCTGACTCATAGCAATCCTGTTGGACAGACCAGAACTGCCCCATAGGGTTTCCAAGGGTGTAAATCTTTACAGAAGACACCTCAACTTTCTCCCACGGAATGGCTGGTGAGTTCAAAGTGCCAATCTTTTGAGTAACCAGTGGTTACTTTTAACCAGTGCATCACCAGAATTCCTCAGCTCTCCACAGTCCTAGTTAATTCTCACATCAGCCATGAAAATAGACAGTCCCATTCACATTTTAAACCAAGAAAACAGAGACTCAGAAGTGGAGAGGTTTTGCCATGGTCACACAGCCAGTAAGCGACACAAACAGGATTTTATCCAGATTTATCTACCCTTGGGCAGTGCAAACAGTCAAGCATTCAGCTGCTAAGTGAAAGATGATTGGTTCACGTGTAGCCACAGGTTCCTTGGAAGAAAGTCCTGGTGATCTACTTTCAAAAAATCAGCCCTCCAAACCCCATGGAGCACACAGTTCCGTTCTGACACACATGGAGCTGCCATGAGTTGGAATCAACTGGATACAAATGGTGTTTTTTATCTCCTTCAAAGCTTATGTATGATGTAATATTTTGAATGACAACAAAAACTACCATTATTGATGGCTACCACGTCTATAATGTTTCTTAATAGTCACCATACCAACTCTTTTCCAGATGGAATTGACACTTTCCTCCTCTGCCTTCCCACTGTACCGCGTAAAGACAACCATTCAAGTGCTGGTGTATTTTATTGGTGTCGTTCAATTTCATGCCTGCCTCTTTTATTAAACTGTAAACCCCTGAAGAGTAGAGCTGGGCATTTGTGCCCGACTCGACGGCAAACAACATCAACATTGTTCATGAATCACACAAAACTCATAGTAACAACTTAATAAATGTTAATGAGAGTGAATAAACAAATGAATGAATGCTTATTGCCTACCAGGCCCTGTGCCCATGGCTTTGACAAGAGAATGAGCCTATTTATACTTCAGTCCCCTCACCTATCCAGTTAGCATGCTCTTAGTACCTCCCACAGAAGCCTTGTCAATAAATCACTGTATTATTGGCTAGCACATAGCAAATGCTCAGTAAATGTTAGCTATTATTATGACCAGATTTAATTCCTGCAACTTTGCTTTAAATGAAGAGCTTGCAGTGCAATATTATAATCCCTTTTTCACAGAATAGGAGCTGTTTTCAGAGAGATTAAGTACCTTGCAGAAGATCACACAGCAAGGAAGTAGCAGAGCCTGGATATGACCCCAAGGGACTGAGATTGTTTTCAATAGCCCTTATGTTTCATAGTGAGTCTCAAGTGCTTCAAACCCTTTCACATCCAGAGTGGCAGTGAATTCTCTTTAGCACCATTGTGGGGTGGCTTGGTGAGGTGGACATACCTGACACAGTATTTAACCCAGTACAGTCTTGACATAGCCTCAGCTGCACTGCATGGTTGGGGAATGCCGGACAGGGTGTCTGGGCCAGAAAGTCCCATGCCTCCCTGATGACAAGAATCACCTGGGCTTTTGTTTACAGCACAAACTCCTAGATCTTCTGAATCAGACTCCACAAGCAAGTGTTTTCAACAAGTACCCTGGGGGCGGGGGTGGTTATCATCAGGGAAGTTTGTGGAACTCTGAGGGTGTCTGAAGCCAGACCTTAAAGGCTGATGGTGGTCCCCACGCTACAGGAGGCAGTTAGTAAACATCAGTGCTCTTTCCTTGACTCACCTTCCACTCATGTTTGAAAACATAAGGACTAAATCAATCTCCCTCATAAAGCTCCCTATGAAAGCCCTAGTGGCAGCGGGGGAGGTTTGGCTGCGAAGGCTGACAAAGCCACTGAATCACGGAGCTTTTGCTCACTCACTTTTCTTCTTACAAAAGCTGCCCATGACCGTTCCACATGGGGCTCTCTGTAGGCACCAGGCACCAGAACTGCTATTTGCTAACATCCAGAGAGGGAGCTGAGCTGCCGCCCAGACTCAGCTCTGGGCGGGGAGAGCAGCTGCTGTAGCAAAAAGGGGCCATTCAAAGCTTTCCAGGCAGCAACCTGGAGCGCGGACAGCCCTGCCCAGCCTCAGCGTCAGCGCGCGGAGCGCCGCCGGCTCTCCAGGGCAAGTTTCCTGGGAGTGCCCCCTCCTTCCACGGACGCAGCCCAAGTCTCCACTTCTCCAACAACTGTTTCCCTCGCAGCTCTGAAGTCCAAGTACTCGCCCGCTGCATCGCTGAGTGCAGAAGCTGGTGGGCTGTGGTTGGAGGGGGGAGGGAGCGCCCCACCAGGCAAATGCCAGGACCAGCATGAGAGGTTGGACTTTAGCGGAGGTCCATCCTCACCCCAGGGGCCCGCCTGCTTTGCACCGTGCATCTGCTAGCAGCTGTTCACTTTGCCCCCTTGCAAGTCTTTGTTCCAAGCCAGACGTTGCTCCGATTGGATTCTCTCATTAACTCCCTCCGCTCCAAAGGGGTCTGGAGGCTGGGATGCCCTGGCGGCTTGGAGGATGTTGACTCTAGAGTGGGAGTCGGAAGGACTTCAAACAGTGGGTATTGTTGTGATTATATGTGCATCTCTGAAGCTGCTTCATTTGCTGGGACTGATTGATTTTTCAGAAGGTAAAGTGGTCGCTTCCAGTCAGTGCCTTGGTTCAGGGCTGGTTCAGAACTGGATACATAAGCTGCTGAAGTTGAGGAGGTTTTTAATACCCCAAGTAAAAGTTTTAAAATATGCATGCTTGACATAGAGCAGCCTAGCAACTGGACACTTCCTTTCTGTTAGATATTTGACATGGGGGCGGAAAGGGGTATTTGTACCATCAGCTTTCTATTTGAAACCCATTTGAGTTCACAGTGAGTTTTGTGGGTTAAATACATTTCCAATTAGGACTCTACTATGAGGCGATAGGAGGAGCCCTGGTGGAGCAGTGATTAAGTGCCCTACTGCTAACCAAAAGGTCAGCTGCTCAAACCCACCAGTGGTGCTATGGGAGAAAGATGTGGCAGTCTGCTTCCCTAAAGATTTACTGCCTTGGAAACACTATGGGGAAGTTCCACTCTGTCCTGTAGGGTCACTTGGAGTCTGAAGCGACTTGTGGGCAACAGGTTTGGTTTGGTATGGGTGATAATACAGGCTGTGATGTTATCTACCAAGCCATAATGTCATTAGTCATTCCGACCTCGGAAGAAGTACCCCGATTTGTAAGGAAAATGTCTGTGTGTGCCTCAGGAGTTAGGAGGTGTGGGGGTGGATCTGTGTTGTTGATTATAATATAAAATGGGTAAGCTTTTGGTTTAAAATTGATTTAATGGGTGCTTAGCAAAAATGTGCTGTGAACACTTAATTTGCAGAAGTGTTTCATTTACATTCCCCGAAGAGCCACATTGCTCATCTGTCTCCCGAGTGGGAACCCATATACTCAGGATAACCTTGCTGCTAAAAATAAATATTTGAGCCATCTAGTGTAAATTTTACTTTTGCTACCCCAAATCAAGTTTAATATTCAAAGATTTAAGAATGAAAACAAGTTGATTAACTTTGCTCTAAAATTATATATATATATATATACACACACACACACACACAAACACACATACATATGTAGACATATACATATATAAACATACATACACACACATATATTTACATGGAATTATGCTTCTACAGCATTAGCATACTTTAAACCTTAAATAACGTACTTGAAGCCTTAATCATTTGATGTCAATTCTGTATTCAAACTCTTCATTCTTCTCAAGTAAAGGAACAGAATTCTTGAGACATTGGCTAATATTCCTTCCAGAAAGCATATGATTGCTTAATGCAGAGTTATGAATAGCCACTTCTTGCAGTGCATATAATGTGGCGAGGGAGAATATTTAAACCTACCTGTGATTTTGTAATCTTTGTAACTTCAGGAGCTAAGATCTGGTAGCTGAGATGACATCATTCCAAAGTACATCCAGTGTTCAGGTTATTTCCATCAATAATAGTCAATGTATCTTTAGATAGTCCTTTTTTTCTACAAAGTGTATTACAATCCAAACATTCAGACCAGAACATAAATCAATTCTTACCAAATTCTCATATCTTCTTCTCAGCACACTCTGTCTATGACAAGTTCTGCTAGGCACACATGTAAATATCGTACCAGGATTAGATAAACCTCAGAAATCAGTTTCTTTCTTTTCTCACATTACACAGTCATTTCCCTAAGCCCTGGAAGGAAAACAATGCATATGCAATCTTCTTCATGTGTCACACAATTTATCATTCTTTTCAGATTTCTGCCTCAGTGCACTGATGTCGGTGTCTTAATAAAATGCAAACACTTTATACAATAGAAATAATTTGCTTCTGTTTCAATTTGTCATTGTATTACCTGAAAGTTGGGCAATCTACTTCTGTAGTGATACGGCCTTGGTAAGCCAAGGAGGGGTTGCTATGATTCGGACCTGACTTGACAACAGTGAGTTTGACTTTTTGGACTTAATCAAACCATTACCTCAAATTCAGCATGCTATCTTCAAAGTGGCTTTGCTTCAGAACTAGGTGAAGCAATCTCCAAGGGAGAATCCCCATGTAGACATTTGAGGAAGCCCACTTTCTCAGTGGTACGAGATAGCGTAGAGTTCTTTTACTGCCAATTTGATAATGTAGAAATTTAAAGTCAAAAGTCCAAATTCAAGACACTTGCTTTTACTTTTTAAGATGTATTTCATGTCACATAAAGTGCAAGGTGTTCAGATTAAAAAAAAAAAAAAAAAGAGTTTCTAGCAATATGAAAAGTAGCATTGTAGATTTCACTCTTCCCAAATAGAATCACAGAATTTTGTGCTAGCCCAAAGCAACTTCCATATCCGTAGCCTTATCTTCATCTATATACATGTTGTTGTTTTTATTGGGCTATCTGAAGGACTGTCTAAAGACACATTGTTGTTGTTGTTGTATATTTGTACATAGATGTACCTATATATTTATATATTTAGGTACTCTGGTGGTGCAGTGGTTAAGGCATTGGACTGATAACCAAAAGGTGGGTAGTTCAGACCCACCAGCTGCTCTGTGGAAGAAAGATGAGGCACTCTGCTCCTGTAAAGATGTACAGCCTTGGAAACATTATGAGGGAGATCTACTCTGTCCTATCGGGTAAGTTGAAATTGGCTTAATGGCAGTGAGTTTGGTCAGACAGATAGATAAATGTTACACAAAATAGCCAGTAAGCTTGGCAAACTTTGGTGTAACGTAGAAGCAAGGGTGGAGTTTACAATTTATGACATGTAACCCACCCACTCCTCAAAGAAATGGCCAGTGAAAACCTTAGGAATAATAGTGAAACACTGTGTGATATATTACTGGAAAACATTATTAATAGCCCTGAAACATTGTCGGATACAGTGCCAGAAGATGAGCCCCTTGGGTTGGAAGGCACTCAAATATGACTGGTAAACAGCTGCCTCACCAGAGTAGAGCTGACCTTAATGATATGGATAAAGTGGAGCTTCCAGGGCCTCCATTTGCTGAAGTGACACAACTCATTATGAAAAGAAACAGCTGCAGACATCCTTGATAATCGGAACATGGAATGTCCGAAGTGTGAATCTAGGAAAATTGGAAGTTGTCAAAAATGAAATGGAATGCATAAAGATTGATATCCTAGGCATCAATGAGCTGAAATGGAACTGTTTTGGCCATTTTGAATCAGATAACCATATGATCTACTATGCTGGGAATGACAAATTGAAGAGGAATGGAGTGGCATTCATCGTCACAAAGAATGTTTCAAGATCTATACTGGAATACAATGCTGTCAGTGATAGGATAATATCCAGACACCTACAAGGAAAGCCAGTTAATATTATTATTCAAATTTATGCACCAACCACCAAAGTCAAAGATGAAGAAATTGATTATTTTTACCAACTTCTGCAGTCTGAAATAGACCAAACATGCTATCAAGATGTGCTGATTATCACTGATGACTAGAATGCAGAAGTTGGAAACAAAGAAGAGTTACTGGTAGTTGGAAAACCTGGCCCTTGGAAATAGAAATAATGCTGGAGATCACATGATAGAATTTTGCAAGACCAATGACTTATTCATTGCAAATATCTTTTTTCAACAACACTAAGGTGGCTATACACATGGACTTTGCCTGGTGGAGTGCACAGGAATCAGATTGACTACATCTGTGGCCACAGGTCATGGAAAAGTTGAATATCTTCAGCCAAAACAAGACCAGGAGTTGATTGTGGAACAGACCATCAACTGCTCATTTGAAAGTTCAAGTTGAAGTTGAAGACAGTTCAAACAAGTCCACAATAGCCAAAATAGATTGCCCAACCTTCCTTCCAAGGAGTGGCTGGTATGTTTGAATCACCAACCTTCTGGTTAGCAGTCAAATACCTTAGGCACTACGCCACCAAAGCTCCTGACCTTGATTATATCCCTCCTTAATTTAGAGACCATTTAAAGACTAGATTTGATACATTGAACGCCAGTGGGAAAAAAAAAAAAAAACAGAGGAATTGTGGGTGACATCAAGAATGTCATCCATGGAGAAAGCAAAAGATCCTTAAAAAGACAAGAAAGGAGGAAAAGACCAAAATGGATGTCAGAAGAGACTCTGAAACTTGCCCTTGAAGGTAGAGTAGCTAAAACAAATGGAAGAATTGACAAGATAAAAGCGCTAAAGAGAAGATTTCAAAGAGCAGCTGGAGAAGACAAAGTCAATTATTATAATGCAATGTGCAAAGACATGGAGTTGGAATGGCAAAAGGGAAGAACACACTTGGTGTTTCTCAAGCTGAAAGAACTGAAGAGGAAATTTAAGCCTCATGTTGCAAGATTCAATGGGCAATATATTGAATGATGCAGGAAAAATCAAAAGAAGATGGAAAGAATACACAGAGTCACCGTACCAAAAAGAATTGGTTGATGCTCATCTATTTCAGGAGGTGACATATGATCAAGAGCCAATGATATTGAAGGAAGAAGCCAAAGTTGTACTGAGGGAAGTGGTGAAAAACAAGGCTTTCCAGGAATTTACGCGTTACTCATTGAGATGTTTCAACAAATGGATCCCACACTAGAGGCACTCACTTGGCTATGCCAAGAGATTTGGAAGACAACTACGTGGCCGACTGACTGGAAAAGATCTATATTTGTACCCATTCCAAAGAAAGGTGATCCCACAGGATGTGCAAATTATTGATATTAAAGATATTAATAATATCATTATTATTGCACACAAGTAAAATCTTACTGAAGATAATTCAAAAATGGTTGCAGCAGTATATTGACAGAGAACATCCAGAAATGCAAACTAGATTCAGAAGAGGATGTGGAATGAGGGATATAAATGCTGCTGTCATTGTTTTTCACCACTTCCCTCAGTACAGCTTCGATTCTTCCTTCAGTACCATTGGTTCTTGATCCTGTGTCACCTCCTGAAATAGATGAACATCAACCAATTCTTTTTGGTACAGTGACTCTGTGTATTCCTTCCATCTTCTTTTGATGTTTCCTACATCATCCAATATATTGCCCATTGAATCTTTTAATATTGTTTCTTGGCTGAAAGCAAAGAATACCAGAAAGATGTTTACTTGTGTTTTATTGA